AGTCGAGGGCTAAGGAGGTGAATGAGTGGTGCAAGGCTTGTGCGAGGAATGCGAGCGAGTGGCGCGCATCGGACGATGATGCGCACGATTGGGTGAAGCGCACGCAGGCAGTATGGGGTGCACGCGGGTGCACGACATGTGAGCATGCCAGCGGTGCGTGGGGAGCAGCAGTGATGAAGGATCGTGCGTTTTGTTCCACTCGCTTGCCTCAAGCAATGCGTCGCCACAGCCTTGCTCTCAACGATAGGTGTGATCGACTCGGTTATTAGCCTAACTCTCTCACGATACTTGAGTTCACTCGGTAATTAGCCTCGCTTCCTCGATTTTGAACTAGCTCGGGCCTTAGCCTCACTAATTCGATTGCATGATCGAACTCTCACGAATCCTAACACATGGTTTGAACAAACGTTCATTTCTATTCAACTCATCAATTCCAAGACCCTTTAAAACAATGAGGGATGATCCCTATTTATAGATCCTAACTATGACTAAGTTTAATCTTACTAGGCAACTAATTAAAGCAATAAAATATTAAATCCTAAACAATCTAGATCTACTAATGCAATAAGGAAATAGAATCCTAATAAATCTAATGGACTTGATCTCCAAGTTACTTTTCTTGCACACCACTCCAATCGGCCGCCCTAATCTTCGACCGCCTCATCGCCTGCGCGCCTCCCTTCGGCTTCTATTCCTTGGCGCACGAGGTATCGCGCGCCTTGCCCCGCACGCATGCGCCTGCAGCCTCAGCCTCGCCTAGTCCCGCGCGGACTAGGCTTCACGCGCCTGCTTCCCACTCGCGCGCCAACGCGCGCTCCCAGTGACCACCGCCTTCCTCTCGCGCGTGCGCGCCCAGCACTCCTAAGTCTGCGAGGCTTAGGCCTCCGCTTGCGTCCATGCCCGCTACGCCTACTCCTACTCGGCCTTGGCTTCCGCCCGCGTTGCCTTCACCCGCGCGCCCAGCGCGTCCCGCGTCATCGCCGCCCGCCGTCCGCGCGTCCCAGCCACCCTCGCGGTTGCTACCCACGCTCGATGCCCCTGCACCCTTCTCGCGCTCGCCTGCCAGTTTGCGCGTTCCCTTGACGCCCGTGCCCAAATCCTCAACCGTGCACCCGCTGCTTCGCTCGTGCCCCCAGTCCCCGTGGCCTGCTCCGACCAACTACACGCATCATGGGCCGATGCGCGCTATTCGCCTAATAGCCGATCTTCATCGACCCCTTTGTCAGTGATCGACCCCGCCGGCTCGTCCCATGGGTCCCAACCTTCCATGCACCTTTCTTCTCTTCTCGTGCAATCTCCAGCCCACCATGTCCATCCGTCTTCCATTCTTGCCTTTCCCTTTCTTCTAGCCTCCATCTTCCATGCTCGCTTCTTTCTTGCACAAGGCCCACAACATTCTTGCGTCGTCACTTGGCCCTGCGTTTCCTAGCCTTCAGCTTCAGTCTTGGACCACATCCTTTTGGCCAATCTCTCTCGCACGAAGGTCGATAAATTGGGCTTGAAGGTTCCTCGAGCATGTTCTCCAACCACATGTCGAGATCTTCGACCATTCCATCGCTCGACTCACCGGGGTTGATGACCACTTCCGTATCATTCCCCTCCTCTTCAAGACCTCCCTTGTCCTCAAGGATAATAAAATTCAACGTACCTTCATCACCATGGCTCGTGACTTTGGCTTCTTCAGCTTCTTTGGCACGCCTCTCTTCTGTGCCCTTCCGTTCGTGGAGCTCCTCCAAATACTCTAGCTCATCCAGAGTCGAACTCCTCTCCAAACCTTCAAGATATTCGAGATCTTCCAAATCCATCTAATCCAATGGTATGAACATCATTACTCCCTTCTTTTTTTTTTTTTTTTTGATACTCACCAAAATTTTCGAAAAAAAAGAAGAAAAAATTCGAAAAAATTTGAACTAGGGGGAAAAATGGGACAAAAAGAAAAGAGAATGGGATAGAAAAAGTTTAACGAAACACACAATCAATCACTCTCAATGAAAGCACCAATGATGAAGGATCATGTGTTTTGTTCCACTCGCTTGCCTCGAACAATGCGTCGCCACGGTCTTGCTCTCAACGATAGGTATGATCGACTCGGTTATTAGCCTAACTCTCTCACGATACTTGAGTTCACTCAGTAATTAGCCTCGCTCCCTCGATTTTGAACTAGCTTGGGTCTTAGCCTCAATAATTCGATTGCATGATCGAACACTCACGAATCCTAACACACGCTTTGAACAAACGTTCTTTTTTATTCAACTCATCAATTCCAATACCCTTTAAAACAATGAGGGATGATCCCTATTTATAGATCCTAACTATGACTAAGTCTAATCTTACTAGGCAACTAATTAAAGCAATAAAATATTAAATCCTAAACAATCTAGATCTACTAATGCAATAAGGAAATAGAATCCTAATAAATCTAATGGACTTGATCTTCAAGTTGCTTTGCTTGCACACCACTCCAATTGGCCGCCCTAATCTTCGACCGCCTCATCGCGTGTGCGCCGCCCTTCAGCTCCTATTCCTTAGTGCACGAGGTATCGCGCGCCTTGCCCCGCACGCATGCGCCTGCCGCCTCAGCCTCGCCTAGTCCCGCGCGGACTAGGCTTCGCGCGCCTGCTTCCCACTCGCGCGCCAACGCGTGCTCCCAGTGACCGCCGCCTTCTTCTCGCGCGTGCGCACCCAGCAATCCTAAGTCTGCGAGGCTTAGGCCTCTGCTTGCGTCTGTACTCCAATCACGCCCCTCGGCTTGTGTCACGCGCTCGTCTCTTGCTCCTCGCGCGTGCGCGTCCGTGCGCGCTACGCCTACTCCTACTCGGCTTTGGCTTCTGCCCGCGTTACCTTCACCCGCACGCCCAGCACGCCCCGCGTCATCGCCGCCCGCCGTCCGCGCATCCCATCCACCCTCGCGGTTGCTACCCACGCTCAATGCCCCTGCACCCTTCTCGCACTCGCCTGTCAGTTCGCGCGTACCATTAACGCCCGTGCCCAAATCCTCTACCGCGCAACTGCGTGCACCCGCTGCTTCGCTCGTGCCGCCAGTCCCCGTGACCTGCTCTGACCAACTGCGCGCATCATGGGCCGATGCGCGTCATTCGCCTAATAGCCGATCTTCATCGACCCCTTTGTCGCCGATCGACCCCGCCGGCTCATCCCATGGGTCCCAACCTTCCATGCACCTTCCTTCCCTTCCCGGGTAATCTCCGGCCCGCCATGTCCATCCATCTTCCATTCTTTGTTTTCTCTTTCTTCTAGCCTCCATCTTCCACGCTCGCTTGTTTCTTGCACAAGGCCCACAACAATGATTCGCCTTCTTGCGTCGTCTCTTGGCCCTACGTTTCCTAGCCTTCAGCTTCAGTCTTGGACCACATCCTTTTGGCCAATCTCTCTCGCACGAAGGTCGATAAATCAGGCTTGAAGGTTACTCGAGCATGTTCTCCAACCACATGTCGAGATCTTCGACCATTCCATCGCTCGACTCACCGGGGTTGATGACCACTTCCGTATCAAGCCGGTGCACGGAGGCGTGCGGTAGACGATTTGAGCGCATGGGCGCTGGGCGCAACGCGCGGCGCACGGGATGACAGCGCGAGTGGGACGGACGCAAGTGGCGTGCGTGACACTCGCGCAAGTGGCAGGAACGCGCGGTGGACGCAACGCGAGCACGCGGAGCGCGCGGGCGGTGACGCGTGGGCGTACACGGGCGAAGGCCTAAGCTGTGTAGGCTTAGGCGAGACGGGCGACACTGGAGCGAGGGGAAGCCGCGACCGAGCGGGACTAAGAGAGCTGGGCGCGCGGTGCCACGCGCGAAAGGGAGGCGGCGCGCGTGTGCGAGAGACGCAAGCGAAGCCGCGACCGACGAGGAATAGGCTTCGTGGGCGGCGTGCGCACGATGGCGGCATGCGATATGGGGCGGCCGAATTGACTTAGAGTTCAAGTTACTTGGAGAGCAAGATTAGTAGATTAATTAGGATTCTATTTTCTTATTGCTTTTAATAAGTCTTCTAGTATTAGGATTTTATTAGTAGAAGACGTTAGGATATTTAGTTGCCTTAGGATTTATATTCTTGCATGATTTAGGAGATCTAGTTGGAATAGGCTTAGATTTATTTATGCACCTATAAATACCCATGTACCTTCTTCATTATGAATATGGTGAATGAGTGAATAGAAAATGGGAACATTGTGTTCAAAGCGTGTGTTAAGCAAGGCCGTAGTGCGTGTTTATCATACAACCGTGTCTAAAAGAAGGCCCTGAGTGCGTCTATTAGTCACACCTATCGTGTTTAGTCGAAGGACCTGAGTGCGCGATTATTCACAAAGAATATGCAAAATCACGATACCCTTATCATTGGTGCTTTCATTGAGAGAATCCAATCGTGTTTTTGTCTATTTTATCTTTTTATTTTTTCGGTTTTCCTTTTGTTGAGGGGCCAATTTTTCTCTTCTTTTTTTCGAATTTTCCTTCTTTTCTTCTATTTTTTCGAGAGTTTGAGAGTATCAAAAAAAAAGTGTCATCCTATTTTGTTTTGATTTTATTTTTTAAGAGTTTTAAAAAAAAAGAGAGAAAGATGATGTCAAACCGTGAGAGGATCGAAGCACTGGAAGAAGGCTTAAAGACCATCGGTGAAGGCCAACACATGACCAACGAGAATTTGGCAAAGATCGAGCTCATGGTCCACGACTTGGCCGGGCAGCTCATGCGCATGAACCCGCGGTAAAGGAGGAATCACGGGATGAAGTCAACCACGGCATCCAGCAACACCGAGGCCGACCACGAAGATGACGATCGGCGATCACACGTGACGTACGCATCGCACGTGGCACGCGACGAACGACGACCACGCCGCGATGACCGAGAGCGCGACGAAAGACGCCACGGCGAGGATTGGCGACGGCGCTATGGGCGAGTGGACCACCACCCCGACGATCGACTCCACCGCCGAGAAGGGCGACACCACCGTGACGAACACCGCGAGGAACGGGCTTATACACGGCCGAAGCTGACGATGCTCACATTCACGGGAGTAAATCCGGATGCATGGTTGAGTCGAGCTGTGCAATTTTTTTGAGATCAACGATGTGCCAAAGTATGAACGAGTTCAAATTGCTTCTTATCATCTTGATGGAGAAACAAACGTATGGTGGCAATGGATCTTGCACAAGAACAATGGCGAGAACATGCGTTGGAGAGATTTCGAAAGGGAGCTCATCACGAGGTTTGGTTCGAGTGATTACTATGATTATGATGAAGCTTTGTCTCGAATTACGCAAGTTGGAAGTTTGCGGGATTATCAAAAGGAGTTTGAGTGCATTGCTAGTAGGGTGCGGGATTGGCCCGAGAGTGCGCTAGTAGGAGGTTTTGTTGAAGGGCTGGAAGCTGAATTGGCAGAAGAGGTGAGGTTAGATAGGCCAAGATCGATGCGAGCAGCCATGGAGTCGGCTACATTGCACGAGGATCAGCTCATGGCAGTACGCAAGGCGAGGCCGAGCGACGTGCGCATGGAGCCTGGGCGCATGCACGCTGCAACCAAGGTACAAGTGCCGCAGATCGAGAGCAAGTCAATAGGAGATATGGTGTGAACAACGAGTAAAATACGGCGGTTGACGGACGAAGAGATAAAACGACGAAGAGAAAAAGGCCTATGCTATACATGCAACGAAAAATACACGCCAGGCCACAAGTGCAAAGGTAAGGAAGTATTTTTGTCGGAATTTGAGGAGGATTGTGCTTGTGAGGAAAATAAGCCACAGGAGGAGTCCTTGTTACATGTGGTCAAGTGCAAAAAACGTGGCCCAAAGATGATCACATTCACAGCTAAGATTAGAGGCAAATTGGTAGAGGTATTGGTTGACAGCGGATCTACGCTGAACTTCATTGATGAAGAGTTATCCAAGGAGATCGAGATTCCATTCACAAAGGTTATGCCTTTTGGAGTCAAAGTAGCCAACGGAGAAACACTTCGAGGAGATATTCTCTTCAAAGGAGTAAAGATAGAAGCTCAAGGTCAAAAGATGAGAGTTGATCTGTATGCCTTGCCATTGAAGGCGACTGATGTAGTACTCGGATGCCAGTGGTTGGAGACTCTTGGTCCAATCACAACTGATTATTGGAGAGGAACTATGGAGTTCGGGCGATTGAGTAAGAGGATTAAGTTGATGACTGAGGATCCAGGCGAGTCACCAGATGAAGATGAAGATGATGGCAAAGTCCGGAAGCTGAATTTCATTATCCTTTAGGACAAGGAAAGTCTTGAAGAGGAGGGGAATGATACGAAAGTGGTTATTAACCCCGGTGAGTCAATTGACGAGATGGTCGAAGACCTCGAGAGTTGGCTCGAACACGAGCTGGAGGAGCCACAAATCGTAGAGTACTAGCCTACTTTAAAGAGGGACTGGCCGAGGGGTGTGGCCCGAGGTCTCAAAGGCGCAAAGCCAAGCGAGCAAGAAGGCAACACAAGCCGAGGGCTAAGGAGGTGAATGAGTGGTGCAAGGCTTGTGCGAGGAATGCGAGCGAGTGGCGCGCATCGGAAGATGATGCGCGCAATCAGGTGAAGCGCACGCGGGCAGTACGGGGTGCACGCAGGTGCGCGACATGTGAGCAGGCCAGCGGTGCGCGGGGAGCAGCCGGTGCACGGAGGCGCACGGTAGACGATTGGAGCGCATGGGCGCTGGGCGCAACACGCGGCACACGGGATGACAGCGCGAGCGGAACGGATACAAGTGACGTGCGTGACACTCACGCGGGTGGCACGAACGCGCGGCGGACGGAACGCGAGCACGCGGAGCATGCGGGCGGTGACGCGTGGGCGTACACGGGCGAAGGCCTAAGCCGTGTAGGCTTAGGCGAGATGGGCAGCACTGGAGAGAGGGGAAGATGCGACCCAGCGGGACTAGGAGAGCTGGGCGCGCGGTGCCACGCGCGAAAGGGAGGCGGCGCAAGCGAGGCGCGCGTGTGATAGTGCGCGCGTGTGCGAGAGACGCAAGCGAAGCCGCGACCGACGAGGGCTAGGCCTCGTGGGCAGCGCGCGCACGATGGCGGCGTGCGATATGGGGCGGCCGAATTGACTTGGAGTCCAAGTTACTTGGAGAGCAAGATTAGTAGATTAATTAGGATTCTATTTCCTTATTGCTTTTAATAAGTCTTCTAGTATTAGGATTATATTAGTAGAAGATGCTAGGATATTTAGTTGCCTTAGGATTTATATTCTTGCATGATTTAGGAGATCTAGTTGGAATAGGCTTAGATTTATTTATGCACCTATAAATACCCATGTACCCTCTTCATTATGAATATGTTGAATGAGTGAATAGAAAAGGGGAACATTGTGTTCAAAGCGTGTGTTAAGCAAGGTCGTAGTGCGTGTTTATCATACAACCGTGTCTAAGAGAAGGCCCTGAGTGCGTCTATTAGTCACACCTATCGTGTTTAGTCGAAGGCCCTGAGTGCGCGATTATTCACAAAGAATAGGCAAAATCACGATACTCTCATCAGGCGCCAGGGCACAGCAGGCCCTGTGCGGGACCGAGCTGGTTGAACCAGGCCACAGCGAGTCGGCGGTCCGGCCAGCTAGTGAACCGGCCGGTTCAGACAAGCCAACTGAGCCGTTCAGGACTTAGTGACCGGTCCGAGTTCAGTCCATATTTTTAGTTAAATTTTCAGTCTAGTCAGTTCTGTATAACAGTACCAGTTCAGTCCAGCTTTAATTTCAATCATGTTAGAACCTGAGATTGTTCCAGTTAAATATTTAGATCGAGTTGAGCATCTTAGCAGCTATTTTCAATCAGTCTGAGCATAGTACTTAGTATTTGTTTATTTATATATTTTCACAGTTTGATCAGCCAGCAGCACTTACGATTTCAAACCAGCAGTTCAGGTGGGGACTCAGACTGAGTATTACATTGAGTATAATTACAGCTATCATGTTCAAGGTATGTATATTAGTTCCACTTAGAATGGTGGCCAGTCCAGGTGCCATAAGTCCATTATAAGTTCTAGTGGCGTAATCTGCCCACTAGGGTGTGCACATGGTTCTGGATATAGCCGGCAGATTCAGTTTCTGATCCAGTAGCAATTTATATACTGTGATCAGCAGTTCACGGACATCGACATAGACACAGATTATATATATGCTATTGATCATGATATTGCAATTATTATTACTGTTTTACTTCAGAATGAGTTTCTGCGGAGCACAGTAGCTTTTAGTGCTCACGCCCCCACTATATTGTCTTTTCAGGTCACAGGGTCGGTCCAGAAGAGTGAGCCTAGCCGGCGGTCGTGGGTTTGACTACATGTTATTTTGTAGACTTTTGCTTTGTATATATGTTTTGCCACGCTTTTACTTCCGCTGACACGTTTACAAACTCGCATTTTGATCTTCAGGCTTTAATCCGATTTACTAGTCAGATTTTGTATAGTATTACGTGCCAGTTTGATTAGATATAATCCGTTTTTCATAATAATTCAACTCAGAAAAGATAATGGATTTTTTAGAAAAAAAAAAAAGGTTTTTCAGTCGCATCCCGAATCACGATTTCGCAAACTAATACGTATTTTTAGAAAAGAATTTGCGAAAATTTGACTCTGATGTTAATACGCTAGTGGGGTGTTACAATTGGTATCAGAGCCAGGTTTTTGTGTATCTGAATACTTTATTAAGTCAGAAAGTTTTCAAAAAACCCGACCACGCCACGCTCACGTCTCGCCGACTACCAGGTAAGTGCTGATTTTACAGTTTTATATATATAAACGAATGTCTAAGTCTATGCTCAGTAGAGGGTTAGATATTTAACCCTAGAAACCAATACGGATGCTCGAGTCAGTCATGGAGTACCTTCAGGATGTAGTAGATTTATTCTAGTTTATCCGATAATTCAACTCTAGTTTTCTCGGGTTAATTTTAGCAACCCGTCAAGAGATTTGTGTGCCTTATTAATC